AAACGACGAACACTAAACATGCTCAAAAGACCGATGAAACAATAAAAATTGTGAGCAGAGCAAACTAGGACCAAATGAAATTGGATCAGGTGCCATGAAGCAAAAAAGCACCTATTGTCGACCGGACACAACAGACATGTGCCCTTTGTCAATATTAGGCTAACAGAAAAAATCCTAGACAATTCAGTTTGAAAATAATGTCATATCAATTCAGAATAAAAATAATAGTCTTACATTTTGCATGAAAGACGTCAGTCAATATTCGACTCAACAACAGACTGTATTTGCAAACAAGGCCACTGTATCAAACATAGAATCTCTTCCGGTGAGATTGTAAAAACCCTTGTATCATTTTAGAAATTTTTCGCACGAAGGACATGCTCTTGCGAATTAAATCAACTGGGAGACACAAACTCCATTTACAGGTAATGATGGTAAAACTATATTTTGATAATCGGAATTGATGTTAGAAAAATTGAAGTCAAAACTTTATCATAAAACTAAGTTGTAAATTTTCCATGAATGTCTTTTTCTAGTAAAAATTTCAAATAATGCAGATGTGTCAGACACCGTGGTGTTTTTTTTATTTCGAGTTTTAAGAAGACACACCGATTCAACATGTAAATTCGAATGAATGAATTGATAAAAGGACACAGCAAGAGATATATTCCTTTCATTTAGAAACTTTTGAATAAAACATATCTGCTAATAATTGGGCACAATTAGAACCTATAAGTATTCAAGCAGATTGTTGGAAAACTGGCTCCAGGGTCATAAAACTAAGACGAGCGCACTTTTGATCTCCGTCTCACTTTTTCAGAAGGAATATATAGTGGGAAACTGAGACTGAAATAAAAAGTGAGCTCATCTAAGTTTAATGGCCCTGGAGCCTTGTTTCAAAAGACAGCATGTATACTGTACATAGATATCAACTCCTCATATCTTTAGAGTTTAGACCTGACTTTAATTGAACAGTGACCAAGGATTTAGTCACCCCCCCCCCTCTCGTACTGTTTTTCGCAGAGCTATATTTTTCTCCATAGAAAAAATGCAAAGCTGAGAGGATACAAACTTACATGATTACCAGCTTCAAAGATATAGGAAACTCTCTGATATCGTAACACGAATTAAATACATATTGAACAAGGAAAGACAGCTTTGTGAAAAACAATCATTCTTGACATGAATAAGGTGTATGAGAAAAATGTTTATGGTATACAAGTGTTTGGCACCTTCTGTGCCTGATTTCTTTCTGTCATTGTCGTCGGTGTCATTCTTTTTTTGAGAAGTATAAGTAAACAGGTTTCTTTTCTGTCAAAATTTATCTGCACAGTAAATGCTGAGTCACTGATATATGAACTATTCTGTTCTTCAAGGAATCCGAAACAAACTGTTTTTGGTCTACTTCTTTCGTAAACATTACAATTTAACGGTTATTGTTAGAACATACAGGGGGGAATGTGATATATAATGAACTGAAACAATCCCTAAAATGGAATTGAATATTGAAAACATACACTAATTAGACCCAATAAACAATTGCAGTATGCTATCAGAATATCTTTCCCTTTGTGTCCAGTATCAATTACACTGCACTTTTATACATACTCTCATCACATAACAAAGTACCTTGTTATTTTAGATCTGTTTGATGACCTAATAACCAAGGTAAATAATTGCGAGTCCTCTTGTCGACAGATGGTATGAAAGAAGCATTTTAACTTACAAAGAGTTGAAATGATCCTGAGATACAAAAAGAGATTAATATCGGATTACATTTTCACGTCTGAAGGTATATATGGCGACGTATCTTCATTTAATTAAAACCAGAGCAAAGTCATTATACTCAGGCAAACAATAGGTTCCAGCACATTATGCCTAGTTGTACAGGCTTATATTTTCCTTTCATTAATCGAAACGATTGGTAATTATAAAATGATAAAAAGTTCAAAATTGAAAATAAAATCATCGTTTATCTATTTTTTTTTAAATGAGAGAGTACAAGTAACTTGTTTATTTTTAGAAATATTAATGATTTTGAAATGTCTATTCAAAACACCTGCTTTGGAATGTATTTGAACTGACGCACATGCAGTATACAGAGGTAAACGAAATGTATTGACCTAGTGTCAGTAAAATAATAAAAGAGTGATACCAAACAATTAAAAAAATAAACTGTATTTTAAATGAAAAAAATATGAATAAAAAAGTGAAGATATCGTACAATAGTCGATCTCATAAATCCTGTAAACAAAAAAAAATTGTGAACAGGGAAAATCAGGGACCTTTGAAAACACCAGAGGTGGGATCAGGTGCCAAGGAGGAATAAGCATCCACAGTTGACTGGCCAAACTTCTGGAATTAAAGTTCATTCATGAAGGGCAAATGAAACATCAGCTTTTGTTTAATAGAAGCCCTAGATCAGAACAAAATGTGAATTGATGGAAATAGAAACTCTGATGTATTATACACTGTAAATATTTTATATTTAGCATGTACAATAAGTAGCGGAAATCGATTTTACAACAATTGACAACAATTTAGCGCAGTTTTTATTTAGCGCTTTTCTGCACGTGCTAGACATAGATATGTTTCAGCAAAAATGACGTCATTTAAACATATTATGTAACTAAGTGAAATTTTAAATGTTTTTTTTATTATTTCGTAATCATTATCTATTTGCCGGATTAATATCATTTTTACAAGAATAAATTTTGAAATTGTGCCTTTTAATTTAACATGTTGGTGAGTTTAATTGGATGAAACACGAGTAAAATTTAACAAATCAAAATGGTTGCAGGTTTTCTGAAACACCCTGTACACATGCATAACATGTTCCGCGAAAGGCGTTAAATCACCAATGTAATACGTTTTCAGTATCTTGTAAAGTTAGAGTATTTCATTAGGGGAGTTAGCGAGATTCCAGTTCCCCAAGAGGCTCGCCTCGGGAAGCAGGTTTATTCTTTGGGTGCTGGAAATTGCTGACTCCCTCTATGATAAACTTTAACTGTTTTATTATACCGATACAAGAACTAGACTAGTTTACTCTGAAGTCCAATTCTATTTCATATGCAGTAATCATAATGTGTGCCATGGAAGTATCGATATTTTTGTGATAAGATACATTCTTGATAGGACGGGCGTATGTTTTTAGAAGATTTTTTCCAATATCGGATAAAGATAATATTACAAGGAATGTTCTTTTAGAAACACCATTTCACTGTGAAAAAGTAATGAGACCCGTGTCTGCACATAATATGAGTCAAATTTTACCATGACGACGTCACTATGAAAAATTACTTATATCCCATACAAATAGGCCCCGCCCCCTTATATGTACTTTCTGAGCTATGTAATGAATATACACGATTATATTTGGAACATATCTGAACTTCAAGAATATAAAAAAGAAATTGCTTGATGTTCCGAATAATTGTGTATCAGTTCATCAATCGAATATACCTATTTGCTTGGAATCAATCTTTTCAAGGAATCAGCGAATTACTATTACATTGAATTACTCATACAGAGAAAAATCAGGAGAGGTGTTCATGTAATTACATGTACATGAAATGTATGGAAATAAAGAACAGTATTCAAGCTCAAAAGTCCATTAAAAAATACAAATCATTGCATATAAAAACAATGGCCGAACAACTTGTATGAAACATGTCACACAAGATACGCACCAATAATAGGTTTTATTTACAAACATGGTCATTATATATCGTCCGTAGAATTTGCGAAAATCTTACTTTCTACAGGGTTCTTGAAATCCCTGTAAAAATGAAAACATTTTACTCATAAAAACCCAGAAATATTTTGCACACTAGAATGAAAAAGTGCTGAAACAAAAATTATTTTGACAAAGTCCATAAGAAAATTAAGCACATAAAACAAATACATTGCACAAACTTAAAATTACAAAATCTTTGTTTTTTTTTTTTTATCATTCAATTCAGAAGTAAGTTTCTTCAAAACCTTGAACCTAATTTAATAATCAAAGCACATAAACATCACTTCATTATAATTTATCATCTTTTGAACATCGTTTTCCTCCAACAGTCTATGTTTCATATTTTTTTTTTAATTATCAGATGGCAGTTTCTCCATACGTATTGAAAAAAATAATTTGATATTACAGAACACTTATTAAAATGTATTTATTTTCTGAAAAATTGCTATAAGCCTTGTACTATTGTCATGAAATGCATTATTTTTCATACTTTTTTGAAAATTTGATAGAATATCAATACTTTTTGTATAATACGATTCCTAACACATATATGGACAATTTTTTTAATAATTCAGAAACACAGATGTTACTCTTTTCGTTTCTGATGTAAATGAAAATAAAAATTTGAGCACTCAGAAATATAGTTCAATATGGTCTAAAGCTCCAAATACTTTTGAAGTCATTTTCAATTACTTCTTTTGACTTGATAAATCTCTATACATGATGCTAAGCTTAACGTCAGAATTAATCTTGTTATTAAATATTACCTTGCGGCCATGGATTTTAGAGTGTATTAATTAAAATGAGATGAAGCAATTTATAGATATATCAACTGATTCCATTATTGAACGTATGTTACATGTAGCATACCTATTACTTTGATATTCAAATATTCATTAAAAAAAATCATACGTCGAAGGGCCAGTGTTCATATTTTCTGTGTATGATTGTTTTATCAACAAATATCCTGCAATCTTAAACTACAGAGTACATTGACACATTATTGACTTCAAAATTGAGACATCTATAAAATTTTATTTACATGAGTTCTCAAACATTGTAAAGTTTGTTAAATTGCCTATATATATATATATATATATATATATATATATATATATATATATATATATATATATATATATATATAAATTAAAAACTGACCGCAGTTCTGTTTTGAAATTTAATTCGTGAGAAAGTAAAATGAAGCATATTAAATATAAAACATAAATTTCATTTAAAACACACAAAGAATTAGAGAAAAGTTGATAATTTGATTGAAAATACGCAAGATTTTGTGGCACAGGGAATGTTAAAGGTGTGATCTGTTTTATATAAACACATACTAGTATACCTGTAACTTTCTGTAACTTTCTGAAATGTATTATCTATTGATTTATTCACCTTCATTTACCTTCTTTCAGTTGTTCCTCTGAGAAAGTTTGTACACATGTTACAGTGAAATTCAAACAATGCGTATGTTAGAAGTTGGTTCTATGAAAATTGCTGGGTTTTTTTTCTTAGTTCAGCAGCGTTTATATTTTATCAAAAACCCCTCAAAATTGTAATTCAATATCAAAATTGTATATACATGAATAGATATGCAAGGAGAGTTAATTTGATATTGCCTCATGTTTTAAATACGTTATAATAAGTAAATACAATGATGCATGTAAATACTGCAATTTCACCATCATGTTCTGTATCGGAAAAATGTAACAGGACCAGATAAATACAGATATTCAGATATATTTTAAATGGCAAATACTAGTACGTATCTTGGCAGACATCAGGAGCTACCTGATTCCTGCGTGGGTTCCCATAATAAATACACGCACCAGTAAGCAATGTTAAATGCCAGAAAAGCTACTGGAAACAGAATTCGTGAAATACGGTCAATATTACGAGCCTTTTCTCGCTCTTTTGAATACAAACTTCCAAGAAGTCCAGCTTTTTTCTGTCTACTTGTATTCGGTTGATTCTGATTTTGATGTTGCCGCTTCTAGAAAAAAATGCATATTCCTCAACAATGAATGTTCAAATTATTTTCAGTGGAATGTATGAGAATGACATTTTTTGTTTTAACTAAACAGTATCTTAGATTAAATTTCGAACAATGCATAAAATATGATCGTTACTTTGAAGAAAGTCAGGAAAATTACACGTATTCAGATTCTTTTCATGATTTATCACTTGAGTAACTCGTGGATAACTAGAGAAGAAACATGGATAGATATTGAAAAGGATTTTATCTTTGATCCTTAATCAGATGAAGCAGTTTATAGGTCTTTATAATTATTTTTACAGTAATTCAGGAACAAACATGATAAAAGAATTATTTTTTCAAAAAAAAAAAAAAACACTCCACACATGGGTTGATTGATTGCTAATTTTTTTAAAAAAGCCGATAATTAAGATGAAGGAAAGTTATATAAGTCTTTGTAAAAGAGTGAATTCGTTCTTTTTATTTCTTCAAAAACATTCAAAATTGTAGATGATGTATTTATTTGAAATAATTTCCTGTAGAAATAAATTTCTTCAGAAATGGTATATTGATTGTAAAGGAGTCATAAATTGTTCTCATTACTATCGCATAAATATTCATTAACAGGGCAAATCAGTCACGATTTTCTCTGATAACCGAGTAATTTCAATTATTGAAAAAATTCTCTATTAGGACTCTTGATATTTTAAGGAATATTTTAAATTGTACTTACAACAACATCGTTATCAGGTCCACCTACAGAAAACACAGAATCCGTTTTACAGTCGCCATTTGTATGAACGAACATCGGAAGATCCTGTATAGACTTCCTTCTGTTTGTTACTCGAAACGTTACATTCACATAAGCAAATTCTAATAACGCTGAAAACACAAACATCATACACACAGCCAACCACACGTCTAAGGCCTTAATATAAGACACCTTTTGTAGATTTGAGAAAAATGACGTGCTTTGTGTCGTCATAGTGAGCACGGTTAAAAGACCGAGGGAAATTCGGGCAGGCACTGCATCGACTGTTAACCAGAAGTTGACCCACGATAGGACCACTACTAAAGCACTAGGGACATATATCTGAGTTACGTAGTAGCCATGATTCCGTTTCAGGTGAATATCAAGTGCAACACAAGAGTAATTAACTGAAAAAAAAAACAAAAAATTCTATTTATCTGATAAAATGTTACACGATCTTTTGTAAAACCTTAGAAATGAGCAAGTTTCTGTGGTCACTATGGTTACTCGTTTATCAGAACATTATTATAATAGAAATTTAATTGAAAGACAATCCCTCGATGTATTTTCGGTAATCAGACCTTGAAATCTTTACAAAGCCTAAAATCAGATATTTTTCCACTTGAAATATGATAGCTGGCAAAAGACTTACAAAAAAAATAAATAAATAAATAAATAAAGGGCAATTAAGTAACATTCTACTCACTTCCCATATACAAGGTATCACAAATTGATGGGTGATTTTTTTCAATTTCAAACTGTGGAAGAAGAAGAGATGGGGAAAATTCTACCGCTGGCGTCCTCCACCGAACAACAATATTTTTTGCACTGTGTGCATCTGAAAAAGCGGTTTATAAGTATTAGCAAATTGTTACATACACGTGTTAGTAAAATAAAATCATCTGAAGAATATATTTAGATATTTCGTAGTAATTGACTGGGTATAAATGACGTGCTTACAGCTTTCTAATCTAAGGCTACATATTTGTCGATCAAGAGGATATTTTTGTAGATTCATCATACAGGAAAAGACACCAGTTATTCTGTGAAAGAAAATATTGTATGAAAAGAACTATTTGTACAAAAAAGAATAAGAGTAGAAAATATTTAACATATAATAGGTAGACGTTATGAAAATGGCTTGTAAAAAAATAATGACAAAATTCTCACTTATCCCGTGTGTATAATATTTAACAAACTGGCGGTATTCATTTTGTCCTTTAAAGACTGCATCATCTTTTAGCATTGTTGTTGTAAGATTAATGCAAGACTAATATTCAAAATTCTAGGGAGAATACGAAATTTTCTTCTAAAGCACGCCTTTTAAATTTTGAGGTCATAATGAGAGGTGTTCGCGTAAATGTTACTTACTCGAAAAAGACGAAAATGGTAAACTTACAACCAAGCTTTATGATAAATGTGATGACTTCAACTTCTCAATCGTCAACTTCCCTGTACTTATGTAGCAATATACTCTTATCACTTGCATATGGGCTTATATCTCTTAGTTGATTCGATACACAAGAGCATGCTCTACGTACGAAAAATTTCTTAAACGAGGCAAGCTATTGAAAAACGAGTTGATAAAACAAGAATTTCAACAGTCTCGTTTGAAGTCATCATTCCGCAAGTTCTATAATCGATACAATGGCCTTGTCAGCAAATACAATCTATAATTAAGTCAAATGCTTACTAATGTTTTTCATACTTATTGTTAGACCATTATTTACACATTGAATTTTCTACGGATTTTTCAGTTTTTCCCGATCATGACATGGAGCACTCGGCTGGTGTGACCAGTGGATGCTCACTTCTCCATGGCACCTGATCCCACCTCTGATGTGTTAGAGATCCATGTTTGCTCTGCTCCTGATTTGTATTGTTTGAATGGACTTTTGAATACTGTTCGTTATCTCTAAATTTCATTTATGCTACAGTAATATGGTAAGGGTAATAATAAAGATTTCATAGGGATAACTTCTGATTTTCTCAACATTCTTATAAAATATTTGTTAAGATTTAAACTTTGCTTGTTTTAAAAACAAAAATGTTACATTTCTATGTCTAAAATGACAGTCCGATATGGCTATTGGTAATTGTTTCTAACAGATAAAGAAAACTTGAAACCAGTTCTGTTTTGAAATCTGAGTGTTGTGCCTTCAAAGATTTCTTTTCAGATAATACAATTTGCCCATAATTCAGTAGTAGGTCGTGTCCAATGCTCTTACCTTGTGTATCTACAGGTATTTCAATAAAATTATACCTTGTACTATAGAGGACTAGCCCATTAGGATACAAATACATCATTTTGTTGGGCACAGTCACATCATGCATCGTTGCTTGTTTTTCGTTGACAAAATATATGTCTGGAACCCATATTCGTTCCATTATCTTTGTGTCGAGCTCGATAACCTCAATTCCGTACGAGGCGTTGTATACAAGACGTTGATCAATCCATCGTTGACGAAAATAGAATGACATTGTATAGTCCTATAAAAACGTTTTAAAAATGAAAATGTGAAGGAATGAAAATACTTCGTTGACAGAAATGACAGAACTGGTGATTTGCATGATTTTTTTTTTAAAAAAAGATTATTTATCTTTCATTTAGAAAATTTATCTAACCTATCTCCACCCCATGCCCCCCAAAATATAATATTAAAAAATTAATATATATTAAGTATTAACAGCTATGGCCACCCCTTTAACAAAATCATGAATGACATGATTCCATATTACCCATCTCGTATGTTCACTGAATTTTAAATGCATTGTTGGTTTAAAGTTATCGAGAAAGGAAGTTTTAATATTTTTTGATCAACTCAAACCAAAAAATGCCAATAAAATGGAAAGGGTAATTTTTGATAATAAGACATTTTCAAGACATGTAGAAATGTAGTATAATGTTAATATACTAGATAAATGTACATAAAGCTGTACATCCGTGTGATTTATACTTCCATTAACTTTTCTGACCTAAAGATCATAGAGAAGGTAAAAAATCTATATCTCACATTTATTACTATTTTTCCTGCAAGGGAGATTGTGTGACGGATCCAATAATCTCAAATAAATTAATATACTGTGTCTGAAATCCCTGGTTTAGCAAAGAAAGAGTCAGGTATAGTGACAAGAAATATATTCTATAATTTAAACAGTAGTTTTATAGTACAACATTACAAAGAAATGGGTTTAGTGAATAATTGTCATGCAAAATATATTGTTATCATGAAAGATCTTTTGTACAAAATGAGAAATCCTATAATTTGGAAACTCTCTATTCCATGGTACGAAAAGATTTTATCTAAATCAACTAAAACTGTTATACTATGAAAAAAGTGATGGTAACAAACAATGATCGATCTCAAAAAATCTTAAATCTCGAACCACTGAAATTGTGATGTGTATATATAGTGGCAAACCAATTATGATATTTTCGTCGATTTTTTTAATTCGCCTTTTTACTTCTCAATAGTTTCAACGAAGCAGTACTGTCTAAATTCAATTAACCTGTTGATGTTTTTATAGAATTTACTTTCCATTAAGCAATTTGGAATTGAAAGGGTGTAAGTACCTAATTTTGATCTTTGGCCATAAAGTGTCTTATGAGCTACGATGAAAGGCTCTCACATGAAAATTGTTTCATTACTTACCATATTAGCGTCTCGTATGGAATCGATGCTGAGAACATAAAGCTGAACTACATCAATAATAGGATGACCTATTCGAGAAAAGCAGGATATTTATTAATAGATAAAAGATAAAGAATTAAAAAAAGATAGAAACAATTTTAGAGATTTTATGAAAATATTGATATATCTGCACATAATATAAAAATGCCTCTCACTCCATTTTTATTTTTCGTTTGCCAATCGCAAATATCGAATTAAAAATCTACACACAAAAGCAATCAACTACACTGTAACAGAAAAAGCTACTACTTTAGGGTCTGTGATTCCATCGAATGTCATGAATAAATGATGTCTAGGTGAATCTTGAGGAGAGAAGATATGGTTCAGTGTTTTATGATTTCGAAATAAAATATTTCTGCTTGGAGTTAATCACTAATGAATCACGCTATAATGTAGTCTATGTGAAAGAATTTGTAAATGTTTAATTTATGCCAACTGGTAAATTCTATATTTGTATTTAATAATTCGTGAAAAACTTGTCATTTCTATAAATTGTACCAAGAAGCAGTGAATTTTGCATGCAGGCGGTGTTATTTAACAAGATATTTCCATTTGCTCTCTCTCTGTCTCTCTCTCTCTCTATGTATTTATTAAATAAGGACTTATTTCTTTTTTTAGGGTTTTCAATGATTTGTTTATTAGAATGTGTCCAAAGTTACATGTAAGGATTTGGAAGAACATTCAATGATTTCTATTAGGTCTCATATGGGTAACATTACAATATAGACTACTTAAGCCAAATGTACTGATACTTCTAAACATACATGTTTATAATCATATAATCAATTTTTAATGTCCGCTCGTTTGTAAGGCTTGAATTGAATATTTGTACTTCAGTGATAGTTACTGTGTCCAGAAGGCAGACATAACACAGGTCAAAAATACATTATGTTAGAAATTAAAATAGTTCAAGGCATGCTTTATTTTCTGAACTTTTATAAAATGGTGAATGTTTGTGGGGGTTTTTTGTGTGTGTAACTTTTGATTGCATCATTTGCAGACAAAGCTTGATTTTAGAAGTCTTAATGGTTTTGATAAATTAGAGTACAAAAAAGCAATCATGGAAAATCTAAAAGAAAAAATGGTTTGACAATGAAAACATTACCTGTTGTCTGAAATAAATTAAATCTATAGAAAAGCGTGATTGTACTAATTATATCAATAGTAAAGAGAGATAAAATAAGATAAACTACCCTACTGGGTTTTTGTTTTGTTTTATATCACAAATTGCAATTTGTGTTGACATCTTAAAGAAATTTAATTTTCGTGCTAAATGCTCATTAAAAAATAAATGATTTATTGATTTAATTGCTCATTCAGTCGATTGTCAAGTTTTGGTAAAATGAGAAGCTTCATATATGTAACATAGTATACTGTACAGTTAATACACTTTATAAAACCGTTGTCAAAGCCTTCAGATTTATATCAGGCATTGCATGTCTTTCGATATGTTTTGATTCTCTTCTTCCAATATTTTGAAAAAAAAACTATATCATCATTTACTGTGGAACAATTTAAGCTTAATATCTATATCGAATGGGAATTACATTAATTTTGGCATATATTGGGAATAAAATACGGTAAATATCAATCGATGAAAAAATGTGAGTTTGATACACTACTAAATAGGACTGTAAACGGAGAGAGAGAAAAAAAAACTTCGAACCAATTTAGTCTCATACATGTAACTAAGAATAGTATGTAGTTAGTAATGATTATAGAAACTTTTTCTAAGCATTAATATCTATATCAAGCATTGCATGTGTTTTTCATGTTTGAATCTAAATGCTGATATATTGTTTCTAGCTGGCCACGTCTTTTAAATCTTGTTTTTATACTAACCTTTGTATCCTAGAGTTTCTGTGAGATAAAATAAAGATGGCATCTAAAATTGTGTTACTTTTTATTATCCCTCGCAACAAAGTTGGAGGGAATATAGTAAAAAGCTTGTGTGTGGGGTGGGGTTGGGATGGGGTTGGGGTGGATGGGTGGGTAACAGAAGCTACGCAATTAATTTCCAACACTAAAAAATAATAATATACATAGCTGTCATAAAACGCTTATCCAAAAGTGAGATACTTTTTCATTTAATCCTTGAAGGGATTTAATGCCCTCGACAAAGCCCTCGAGTAATAGTTCCTGTCGCGGGTTTGATAAGAGAACTATCGTACTTACAGTTAATGGATAAATGTATGATATCAATGTATGAAACAAATTTAATACACTTCCAGATAGGAATTTGTGTGAGAAGAAACTTAAGAAAGCATTCAAACAAGACGGACTGACCATGCATTTCTTTAGTACAATAACAACTTTTTCCCGCATTTTTTCAATAAAGATGGCCTTTCAGTGAGCGCTTTATTCGATACGCAAGGTTAAGAGCACGCTCCACATAAGAAACATTTTAAAAAAAACGATCAAGGCAAGCTATTGACAAACAAGTCGATGAAACAAGGATATCAACAGTCTCGTGTAAAGTCATCATTTGCAAGTTCTATGGCCGATACAATGACCTTGTCAGCAAATACAATCTATCATTAAGTCAAATGCTAACTGATGTTTTTCGTACTAATTGTAAGGCCATTATTTACACACCGAATTGTCTACGAAATTTTCTGTTTGCCCGATCAATCATGACAAGAAGCACACGGCGGGTGTGACCGGTCGACAAGGGATGCATACTCCTCAATGGCACCTGATCCAACCTCTGATGCTTTTAGAGGTCCGTTTTTGCTCTGCTCCTGACTTATATCTTTTCAACGGACTTTGAGCTTGATTACTGTTCGTTACATGTATCTCCATATCTGAAGATAAAAATGATGCTTATGAAATGCTTGATTTGTGGATTTCTGCTACTTTTCTTTTTTGTCATTAGATTTCTATAATGTAAGATATCAAGCCATAATAAAATTAAGTAACTCTTTCTAGAAAACGATGCAAATCATATAGGCCTCGGACCCGATTTACTCATTAATTGAAACATGAACGTTTTCTTAAAAGATTGATTTCTTCCCTGTAGTTGTGGCATGTCGTGTACTTGCTTTATAGCGACATGGCTCTTTTGATCTCCGGTTATAAATCGTAATAACAAAGGTCATAAATTTTTACCCATTGCATTTCGTTTGTCAATAACAAGAAGCCGCGTGAATGATTTGTACAGGTTATTACAATTTTTATTCGTCATGGGTTTTGCAATATTTTTCAACTGATCAAAGAAAATCCAAACCGAGATTTTAAAAAAGCAGCTCCAATTCATTTCTTGTTTTAATAAAGTCTTACAAGACGATGAGTCGACCATCAATAACTCTCCATTGATGCTTTTAATATTTCATGTGCAAAATTGTTGTCTAATGATGAGATACGTATTAAACAGCAAAAATTTCCAAGGTTGTATTTTCCCCTTTTGGCATAAAATAGATAGTGTTCAAATTGAAAAACTATGATACAAGCAAACCAGTAGAACTACTACTTAAAGGTGTACTAGTAGTATGTGTAAACTCTACCTTTGGGATATAACTTCAAATAAGTCTTTTTAACTTCAAATTAAGACAGCACTTGAATAAATACGAAAAAAATCTGGAATTTGTTCACAGGATTATAAGACCAATAACTTTGAAAACAACCTGATCAGGATCAATAAAATAACTCCTAAGAGAACAGAGATTTCTTAATCCCCTGTAGTGTACATGTGTCATTACTAAATTAGTATCAAAGTATTAAATCTCTTAAAATCGAAGTCATAAATCTTCGACTTATAATCAAGAGTGTATGTATAAGTCAACACAGATATAAGGTTAATATATGGAGCATCTTTTCTCAATCATTGGTAAAATAAACACGCCCTAGTCATGAATGATTAAAATTCTGGATGCGCTGAGACACAGATATTTCATACATCTAGTTTATAAAACAGGACTGCTTATCAACCTTGTACAACAGTGCATATAAGTTTGATTTACTACTAGTACATGTATATGACAAAATTATTTCATATTTTGAATTTCTCTATCTCATGTCTAATACAACATGAAGAAGTTTAATACTTTTTGAAGGATATATGTTGCAAATATATATAAAAGTTCATATCTGTTTTTAATTTTTTAACGAATCAAGTGCCCCCACCCAGAGAGCATCAATTTATGCACATTTTGAGTTATTAGATTTCGTATTTTTATGCATTATTACAACTGGGAATATTAAAGTATATCTTAAAATATAAGATTTATATTTAATACTAACATTTATTCCTATAATTGACAAACCTTAACAAAAAATGAGAATCCTGTTAATATTTAAATTATAAATTAAAACACTTATTGAAATCCAATATCAATAAGCTTGTGGTTGAATTGCGTTTGTAATATCTCATGAATGATATACAAGTGTTTTGTTTTACATACACATATGAAACATATACAAAAATACCGATTTGGTTGTCAAATATGCAGATTTCTTATTTGCAGCCTCATATTTTTATACAGCTTTTTTCATTCAATTAAGAATTCGTTTTCTTTTCAATGAAAGCTAAGATTAACCTACAAAGATGGATCTAAAGAATCATGATTATATAATTGTATATTTATATTACATATTGAAATAAATAAACATGGTTGTATTTCCTGTTAATTCCTTTTTTTCTAATAACCGGGATTTTGCAACAATATAATTTGATTTCTAAAATGATGGGTATTTTTTTTTAAATCGATTTATAGCTAGGGTCTTGATGTCAATTCATCACTGCCAGGAGTCAAATAATAACGTAGCAATGCCATTGATCAGCTGTTTTCATCTCACCATAAGGACTTTTTCATTCTTTTGTGTACTCATTATCATTTTATAATCCAGTTTTATTCTACATTGTTTACTGAAAACTATGAAAATAAATCAGTCTTTTAGAAAACTTTGTCTTATAAAAAAGCCTTTGTGCATCCAATTTCATTCATGTATTTGTGTCCTAAATTTTACACTCTTTTCATTATGCCTAGTGGTTCATTTAAAAAAGAAAATGTTATTAAAACTACTTCCAACTTTAAAATCAGTGATTTGAAAATTTTCTCTGACCTAGCTTTTTAAATTTGCACTCCATTCTTTTCGTGCATAATTGGATTAAGCAAACATATTTTCAAAACGTAGGCAATTATATTTCTAGATATACCGTGTACAATACAAATACTAAAACTTTAAAATGGGAGTTTCAATTTGCATTGTATAAAAATTAAAAAAAAAATATTGCTGCTTAGTGTTTGCGGATCAGGATTTAGGGACAATTGCTACAAATAAACAAATAGAATGTATTTTTGATTATTTCGGTCGTATATTGTTATGCAAATATCAAGAAATCAAATATTAAGAAAATTTCAAATTTTCGATGATGTTTGAAATTCTCACTTTTAGCATTTCGCCTTCTAAATTCACATTATATGATACTAGTATAAAATCCTGAATAAAACTTAAACTTTATATTGTTAAACATCTTTTTTACTTGAAAAGCATAGATCTAGTTTCTATTTTCAAGATTTAAAAAAAATGTATCAAGTGGCCTTACTATTCCATCGTCGCCTTTTATTGACAAGAAATATAATCTATTAAAGAAAGCTTAAAATGCAAAATCCTTTTTTCCTTTAAAAGTTATGGTCTTTTTCATGAAATATAATTTAGTTTGCAAGGAAAGATTTGTTGGATACTTTTAAAACAAGTAAGATTTCTCTCTATATATACTTATAGTCTACGTCTGGTCTTTGAACTCTCCGGGACATTAGTCAAGGCGAAAAGACATAAAGTGACTTTCTCTCTACCATTTGATTTAAGGATTTTTTTTATCCTCTTAGTTTTAATGAGGGCGCTGAATGTATTGTAAAAGGTTTTCTCTTCCTATATGGAAAAGCACATGAAAACAAACATCATTTAAACGCCAAAACAGGTACTTTCAATTTATTGAAAAAGTCTATCGATCAATTTAAAAAATCAGATTTTATTTCAGTGATTTTACTAGTTTTGAAAAGGCAATTATATTTATTCATATGAATGCTTTCATAATTTGGACCGACTGCGAATTAAATCGTAATGCTGACATTATGCCACTAATCACTCATGGATAGATGTAATTTTAAAAGGTAGATGACCTTTACCTCTATCATAATTGGGAGAAATCCATGCATCATACCCCTCTAACATCGTATTCAGAATTTCTTTCCTAAAAAATTGATAAAATTGATTTTACAGTTGTCTCTTATGGAAAGAATGAATATTTACAAATAATTTCATGATTGTTTCAGATGGAAAAAAAAATGAACATTTAACAATCAATTTTACATTGTCTCAAATGAAAAGAATAGTAGTTTTCTAAAATTCTTTGATTGAAACTCGTTCTTGTATTATGCAAATAAGTGCCTAAAATTATTAAGTGTACAAAGTTAGACTTCTGTTTTCAGCCAAGAACAAGTTGCAAATAAATATGTGTTATATTTTCATGCAATGGTCGAGGTTTTTAAAACTGCTATTAAATATAAACATTTTATTTTCGAAAAAAAAGCCGATTAATAGTTATCGTATTTCTTTAGTTTACATACCTTGTGATATTAACATCCGAGGAATTCAGTGATTCACTTCCACATGTTAGCACGCAGTGTACAATTATAATATAGAACAATCTATCTTCAGTTGACAGAGAAGGCATTCGAAAATCCATAATTCATATATTACTCTTTTTCTGGCATTCCTTTCATAACGGTTACTAGCTAATTGGTTGCACTTCACTTGCAAGTATGCTACATGTCTTAATTCCAATGTTTACTCTTAAGTAGTAAACTATTTGCACAGGTAAACTTTATTATTAAATACATTTTGAGGACACAGAATTTAAATTCCCATCTTTAAAGTTTAGAGTACATTCGTTTCTAAATTTACTTTAAGTTATTTGAATAATCTCTCAATACACACTTAATACACCCGATTTCCACAGAGTGAGGTGATCATGTGATTTTCCATTTCCGTTTTGTACCATTTAAAATCACTGCATAAGACGACCACAGAGTGATGGAAATATTGTAGACAGTGTTCGTACCTAAACGAAACAATGGCAGAGAAACAAAAATTGATTCCTTATACTCTGTAATTTTACACCTAACTAACTGTCTTTCCTACTATGTATACTAACTTGATATTCTTATTGCGTTTAATGAAAACAGACCGATATAATAGCTGAACTAACAATTAAAGGAAACAATAAGAAGCAATTGAAAAAAATGGCAAATTATAGAATCAGTTTTTTAATGCATTTTTTTCCTCATTTATATCTTGAATTAGAATACAACACGTAGACAGAATATATATATTAGACAGATGGATTGTTTCCTTTTGAAGAAGTAAAAGTTTTGAATTAAATCAAATGTCAATTCTCAAAAACTACAAAGAATTTTAGAAAATATAAAATCACACAATTTTCAAAAGTGACATCAAAGTGACTTTTCTACACTTTATACAACCGTTCGATTCGTGATCGGGAGGTTCAGTTTCGATTCTTGTTTGCCACATCGCGTCAAATCTAAGAAGGAATCATAGGTAGCGACTGTTCCTTCCTCCAGCACTAGGCATTAGAAGTGAAAGTCACGGGGATTTCCGACGAAATTTTAAAACCGAGCTTCCGTGTCATGGTAGGCGTTAGTACGATAAAGATCCCTCACTGCTCAATGGTCCTGAGTGCCGAGTATAGGTCTAAAATTGAAGCCCTTCATTGGCATACGAAGACATCTCTTTATGACTGAAAAATTGTCGAATGGGACGTTTAACATCATACAATCAAATAAACACTTTATATATCATTCCTCTTGATAAATTAGAAACAAGGCTTTTTGATATCATAAACAACTGCTCCTTCAATAAAAATTGAAATTTTCATATCTCTATTAGTCATCATCAAAATTACTTTGTTAAAATCACTCTCATTCTACATAAAATACACCCGTACGAAACTCTTAACCGTTTTCCGCCTGGAGTCCGGGCGGACTGAGACGGATTCCGGTTAAGTGCTAGGTGGACTAAGCCGTACTAAAGGCGGACATGGAAAACGTCTTAGCTTTAACCGTTTTCCGCCTCATATCTTAGGTGGATTCCACCTTGAATCTGAGGCGTATTTTTGTTAGACGTTTTCCGGCTTAGCTCTTAGACGGATTCTGCATTAATCTTTAAATTATGAACAGTTTAAATTATGACCACATGTTTCATTCCTTTAGATGACCTTGTTTTCTAAAGGCACTAATGGGGGAGATATTCGAAAAAAATAGTCAAACATGGCGTTTAATCCAGTTATTAGACTTTGAATATTAGGCTTTTTATTACATTGAAGATTGCGTTTCCTAGAGGAGTAATTTTTTGCAGCCATATTGTATATCAGATATACGTTTCTAATGCGCTCCTGCTTGACCACCCTCTACAGGGGGCGGAAGTTTTCAGGCAGAGCCTCTCTTTGGATGCATTGGTCAGTTTGAATGCAGATTTTGAAAGTGATCTAGTGATGACTGTTGGTCAATTTGGTTGATGAATCTTTACATCTTATTCAGTTTAAAAAGGAACTCAGGCAAGATGTATGCCTGTAAATTACTATTCTGAAGATGATTTGTTACGTGTTTTTGGAAAAAAGAGTGATAAAATACAACTTTTGGTGTTATTCTTAACTAAGCTTTGAAGTGAAGCAAATTATGCTTGGTGAACATGCTGAATGGACAAAGAAGGACCTCTAAACACTGAACAGGAATACATGTAACTGTGAAAAACAATGGTAAGTTAAAATTTTTAGCGGTGTTTTTTCTTTTCTCTCTTTTTTTGAATTCGTACAGCCAAAATATGTACACACCACTCTCCACCATTACACCATTAATTCCAACTGGAATAGCACTGAGGCCCTATATTCACATTATACTCTACACTAACCCAGATGTTAAAAAAAAGTTTGCGCATAAAATTTCAGGCGCCATTTCTTTTTGCCTAATGTAGGGTAGCCTCAACCCCCCCTTGTTTTCAATGTTATGAGTATATCCTTTTAGATTAAAATATTAAATATTAAAAAGTACAAAGATAAAGGATAAAAAAAAAAATACAAATTCATTTGTCAATTATTAATCAACATGTACTTTTGTAATTTTATTTTTTACTTTGCGTATGTGTTTTCTGGAAATACGATTTCCTTTTAAAATTAGCGACCTGTAGTTACTTCCAGTTTTAAAATCACGATATGATGTGTGTTCGCACTGGTTTAACCAGTGGTTTATTAGTGGAATGGTGACACAGACACCCTTCTAAAAGTGTAGTTCGCTGCTCAGTTGGGATTAGGAGTCAGGTTCTGAGATGTAAGTCATCATTTAAAATATTAATATATACATCATGTACATGGAATTCTTTTTTTTTTTTTACCTTGATGAAATTCTTAAAATATATTTTTGGGGTGAAATTTGAACAAGTTTTTTTAATTTATTTTTTCATCCATATTGAAGTGTACCATTCCTCATAACGTTGATGCATCTACACTATAGTTTTCCTTATTATTCAATAAGCAGCTGCAAATGTACATTTCAAAACATACATGGATATGAGTATATTCATTTAAGTTAGATCTACATATTTCATGAGCAGCTTTTGAATATACATGTAAATTAAAAGTGTTTGTAGAATGGGGTCTTACATTATTACCTTTTACAAATATATGAAGATTATGAAAAGTAATTGAATAAGAGATTAAAAACCTATTTAAGTCAATTTTAAAACTGTAGATATTAGGATTTTCTGCTGTGCAGTGTTATACATTTCAGCACTCCGAGCTTTTTAAGTCCTTGGCAATTTTGGCCGATAAAGGTAAAATGAGGAATGTGGCAACTGCAGCAAGTCAGGATGAAGGCCAGAAGTCACTGTCCATCCACCCTTAGGAGTAAACTGGCAATGCTGCTTAGACTTCTCATTTGAGAGCTTGCCGAAGATTCATGGGAAAAAGGAATGCAATCTAACACCTGTGCATCATTCAACTGTATTGGAGGTTATGAGAGGTAAGAATACATGAAGACATCAGACGTCTGATAAATATATGAAAAATTATTCTTATATTTTGTAAGTTTTAGTGTTGAGAGAAATTAGACAAGACTGTTTGCATCCTGATCTGTAATACGGAATAGAATGCCATAAAAGAGTCATTTTATTGAAAAATGTTGAAGAGTTGTTTTTAAACGAGAAATTCATCTCAGTTTGTATTTTCTTTATAGACTTCAACATGTGGTGACCGTGTGTGAAGAATGGCAAAGGATTTAAAGCTTGAATCATGGAAAAGATAAGTTATTCCAGATGAACAATAAAAATGACACACTCTTTCCTTGCAGACAGAAAGAATTTTGTGAAAATAATCAACCAGTGGTAAATTAACAGCTAATTGTTTTGTTGAATTGACTTTTAAACATTGGTTTTGTCTTTCTTTTTTTATTTGTTAATTCAACTGTGACAGTCACATTATTATGTAGATGTATGAAGAAAAATCAAGTATTGGTACAATATTTTTTATCTTTTTATTTCATGTGAATATAAGGCAAGGCATAACATTTTCAAATGTAGAATTTTTTTAGTCATTGAATTTTAAAGAACTTGTAAATAAATGATTTATAATTTGTATAATTTCATTTTTTTTAATTGTTAAGTTTGTAAAAGTCTGAAACAACAATAGCTGATGTACACAGTGATAGGCAGATTATGTAACCATTAATGCAAAATCCCTCTAACCATTAAGGCGGAATACGCCTTGCTAGTAAGGCGGAATACGCCTATCTTAAGTAAGGCGGAATACGCCTTGCTAGTAAGGCGGAATACGCCTATCCTAAGTAAGGCGGAATACGCCTTGCCATTAATGCGGAATACGCCTTGCAGGTAAGGCAGAATATGCCTTGAAAGTAATCCATATTAGGAAAGGCGGAATACGCCTTAACTCATTTAAATATTTCGAGCCCTATTCCGCCCTGATTCCACCCGGACTCCATCTAATAGTCTTATTAAGTTCTTTATAGATAAAGGCGGATTCCATCTTTTGATTTCCGCCTAAGGTCAGGGCGTAAATTTTCGTACAGGCTGTAATGTTGTTTTGAAAGGACGCTTGAAATCCAGACTGAAATATTTATATAGTCTTTGGAGACAAGACCTTCAAACATACCATTGGAATTGCAATGGGTTCTAATTGTGCCCCTTTATTAACCGACCATTTTTTATATTCGAGTGAAGCAGAATTTATTCCAAAAATTCTGAGAAGAAGAAAACACTTGTTGTGGCCTTCAAATGGATATATATCGACGACACATTATCAATTATAGTTATATGTACTTCCATTCGTATGATGACTCGATATTTTCCAGTGTTCTCGAAATAAAAGACACATCAGAATCTACCACATCTGTTTCATTTTTTTTTTCGGCGGGGGGGGGGGGGGGGGGGGTTGATGACTATAGACTATAAATGCCAACTTACAACTGTATAACAAACAAGACGACTTCAGCTTTTCTGTTGTGAACTTTCCTTATTTATGTAGTAATATTTCCCTATTACTCTCAACTTATCCGATACTCAAGAGCATCTCTGAGTAATCAACGTTCAAACCGAGGCAGGCTACAGACCGATAA